TATTTCCACCGCCAGGCCTTACTGCTCCGGTTCCGGTTTTGATGGTTAAGGGTGTTGGGTGAATTTACAAGCACATGGGACTTGTCAACTAAAGTCTCAGCGTGACGGATGCAAGAACACTCCGTCAGATCTTTGCGATTTAAACTCTGAATGGCACCGCATCTGTCATGGATAAAACTATTGTGAAATAAAAACTTTATACTAAAGGTTATTATACAATTTCTGCGTACTTTTATGACAAAAAACTGTTGTAATGACCCGCTTCGCTCTTTCAGGTATTCTCGATCTAATTTATTTAAATATTGTAATGATAAACGTATTTAAATGTATATTTACAAAGAGCAACCTAGAGTTTCTTGCTCTGCTTGAATCTGCCTTACGAATTAGCAGAAGAGTTTTTTTAAATTAAATGGACTTGCTCTTGACCACCACCTAGCTTTGGAGCAAAGATAGGATCTACGATGGAACGAGCTCGCCCAGAAGTTGCCTATTCAGTCGCACCTTAAAGATATCCGGATTGTATGAATTCGGAAATACAGACACAGGCAGGGAATTCCATTCCTGGGCGGGCGGGATGAGCTCATGGAGCTCATGGACACACTCACCGAAATATATTCTGTAAAAAACCCAGAGTTTAATCAGTATGACGATTTTAAGTATAATTCGCTTATTCTATGAAATATTAAGAAAGATTATTTTACATTTACTTTGACTTATGGATAGGTGTATGGGTTACCACCATGCGCACGACTGGTTTATCCTATCCCGTCACGTAACACCTCAAAATCACGTGATGCCAAATAAATACTCATAATTCAGTTTACATTTCCTTCAGACATCCTGCAATCGGACGACGTGTTTACATTTGTTGGTCAAGTATCGATTCGTTAGAGTTGGAATTAAAGTTCCCTTATGTATCTGTGATATTATATTTCTTTTAAAATGCTACTTGTCGTGAGATCTGTACCGGGAGCGTTCACCTCGCGCGCGATTGTAATTGTTCAGACGATTAAATGAAGCGAAGCATTCCTTTGGATTCATTATTTGGAGCAGATGCGTGCATACTCTACTTCGTTACATACTTAGGGTATCCTCACACTTACTCAGTATCTAGATACAAAAAGCTTTACGTCCTTTCACTAAAAACAAAAACGACGTAGCGCACTTCATTTTCGCTTAGCCTGCCAATGAAAGACGATCGTCTTTTTCCCTCTTATTTATTACAATGCTTATTAACAGACTTAAGGCAAAAAGAAAAAAATACGAATATTGAGAAAAAATGTAAAGAACCCAAAAACAAAATAAACGCAGAACAGGTCCAAAATTTAAGATGGCGTAGAGTTTTAGAGGTATCGATTTATTAGAAAATTTGCAAATTGCTCAGTGGTTTAATGACACGCCGCGCCGCCCGTTGCCCCGTCAGTCGCCATCGGACACTTGTCGAAGTCGGATCTATGTCAAATTTTCTCGCCATTTCTTATTTTGTTCATATTAATTTACAGCGCGCGGAATGCAGGACGCGAGGGGTGACCCACCACACCACACATTCTAAAACCTAGGTTCCCGTTGAAATGCGCGATGCATGCTTAATGCGATTATTCAAAGTAAAACGTTAACTAACAAATTCAATTCATTTATTAATTGCATCATGTGTAATAGCTACAGATCTTATATTAAGCATACATAGAAAAGTTATGAATTCTGCAGTAGGGCACAACAACATAGGAATGAGGCAGTTCGACGTTGTTGATATTTATCGTCTAGACATTTTTGTAGCAGATAGTAGCTTTTATTAACAAAAGTAGAGCAGTTGTCCAAGAAAGTACCGTCACCTTACCTGTTTCTGCTGCCAAGCAGTAATGTGACCATTATTGCGTTTCGGTTTTGAGGGGTAAGAGTGCTGGTGAAATTGCAGACACATGGGACTTGTCAACTTATGTCACAGGGTGACGGGCGCAGTAGAAAAGCTTCTCTTATCTTTGCGATTTAAGGATCTGAGTGCCACTTTACACAGCGACAAAATTAGACAATCGATAAATAAATCTAAAACTACTTGGAGCATAATAAATAAAGAGTCAGGCAGGGTTAAACTACACGATAGAGATATAGTTTTAGAATTAGACAGCAAACTTATAAAATCTAAAGATAAAGTAGCCCAAGCTTTTGAATCGTTCTTTTCGGAAATTGCTGTGAACACTACAAAATCATTAAATTCCTCCCCTTCACTTGCTATTGATCTCCTAAAGGAAAATGTTAACGTTTGTGGCAGTTTATTTAATTTTCGTCATGTTAATCCACAAGACATCATAAAAGCTTTTAAGTCAATACATGTTAAAAAAACTGAAGATCTCTGGGGCATATCATCTAAAGTTATAGACTCAGTTATTAATCTCATTTCCCCACAGTTAGCTGTAGCTTTCAATAGGTGCGTTGACGAAGGTGTTTTTCCCGATTTAATGAAATACAGCAAGGTTATTCCCTTATTCAAAAGCGGTAGGAAAGTTGATCCTAGCAACTATAGGCCCATTTCAATTTTACCAGCTTTAAGTAAAATATTCGAAAAGGTTATGCTAACTCAATTACTGTCCTATTTCGGTAGGAATCATATTTTTCATAGTGAACAATACGGGTTTACTAGTGGTAGATCGACTAGCGATGCGGGGGTAGCGTTACTAAAACACATCTTTGATGCTTGGGAAAGGTCCCAGAACGCTATTGGTGTTTTCTGTGACCTTTCAAAGGCATTTGATTGCGTTGATCATAATACTCTTATTAGTAAGCTGGAACATTACGGTGTAAATGGCAAGGCGTCGAAACTTGTCTCGTCATATCTCAACGGTAGAATTCAGAAAGTAGGCATAAATGGAGCGACTTCTTTGGGTTCTCCAGTAAAAATGGGTGTTCCGCAGGGCTCAATACTTGGACCTTTCTTATTTCTGATTTATATTAATGATCTGCCATTCTTTGTTAAGGACCATTGCGAAATAGTGTTGTTTGCTGATGACACATCCTTGATTTTTAAAACAGACAGACATGACATTAACTATGACCGTATTAATGATACCCTCTCTAAAGTAGTTTATTGGTTTAATGCTAACAATTTATTGCTTAATGCCAAGAAGACAAAATGTGTTAAATTTGAATTACCTAACGTAAAATCGACTAGTCCAAGCATAGAAATAAACAGAGAAAAGTTAGACCTTGTTAATAAAGCAGTCTTCTTGGGAGTGACCTTAGATAGTAAACTTCAGTGGTTTCCACATATATCGTCCCTGGCCAGCAGATTAAGCTCCGCTGCATACGCAGTCCGCAGAATACGTGAGCTTACCGATGTTAGTACTGCTAGACTAGTTTACTTTAGTTACTTCCATAGTATAATGTCCTACGGGATTCTCATGTGGGGCAAAGCGGCAGATATTCAAACCATATTTGTATTGCAAAAACGAGCGATTCGTTCTGTGTACCGTCTAGGCTCTCGGGTATCTCTCAGAGAAAAGTTTAAGGAGACTGGTATCATGACTGTGGCATCACAGTACATTTACTCAAATATTTTATATGCCCGTAAAAATATACATAATTTCAATAAGAAAGAAGATATCCATAATATTAACCTTAGAGCTAAGTCCAAACTCATGGTACCACGATTTCGTTTAACCAAGGTAAACAACTCTTTTATGGGGAACTGTATACGTTTTTACAATAAGATTCCGGAGCATATATTAAGTTTATCACTTCCTAAGTTTAAAAACTACATTAAAAATATTTTGATCGAAAAATCATATTACAAAATTGAAGACTACGTGTTAGATAAAGATGTATGGAAAGACGACATGGCTCCTGAATCCACACAAATTTGATTCAAAATGTATTCCATAGCATTTAAGTTTATTTGAAAAGAGCAATCCCTAGAGTTTCTTGCTCGTTCTTCTCAGGGAGGTCAGCGTAGTGAACGAGCAGTACCTTAAATGTGACGTTTTCAAGTGTAAATTTATTTTACCTATGGAATAAATCATCTTTGACTTTGACTTTGACTTTGACTTTGACACTGTAACTGTCATGGATTTTTTTTTAAATTGCAACAAATAACGCATATACTTATACCCGCATGGCCGCACTAGGGAAACGCTGTATCGCGGGTGCCATGGACGCACACATAGGTAGACAACCATAAATTACACCCAAACTCACGTGAGGAATGTAGGCCTTACAAATATTTCTCCCGGTCCGGGAATCGAACCCGGGACCTCGGCGTGGCAGTCCAGGATGGTAACCGTTCGGCCACAGAGGCAGTTCGCAATGACGCCATCTATCGAGATACGGAAATGATCTCGAAGTACCGACATCAAAATTGAAAGTTGCGTAAATCGTGTCATATGCAATGTCAATAAAAATATACAACAAAATGCCCGAGCGTATAAAATAGAAAATAAAGCAAATAAATGCATTAATAACTTAAAAAACATTATTTTTATGATAACCAAGAGATGGGACGAACAAGTCGTGCGTCTGGTGGTAAGCACCATTCCTATCCATAACAGTTGCAGTGCTACTCAGAGGTTTCAATCGCAAAGATCTGAGGAGCACTGTCCGTGCCCGTCACCCTGAGACGTAAGTTGACAAGTGTGTTGACAAGTGTTTATAATTTCACGAGTCTTAACCCTTTGAAACCGGAACGCAGTAATGCTCACATTACTGCTAGGCGGCTGAAATAGGTAAGGCGGCAGTACTTCCCTGGACGAACTCTTTCACAAGGAACTCAAATGTCACGTTACTTGTTATCGAAATAACATCTTCCCTGGTGCACGTGCCACATTATGATGGCTCAAAATTTTGCTAATATACCAATAAATCCACGGAGTTTCATACTTGTTACTTAATAAGAATGTATGTCTGGTAGTAGCTGGGCTCTATTCAACCTACCCCCTCAATATTCGAACGCAACCGCGATCACGCCGCGTGACGAAATCATAAAAACGGCGCGCGCGCCGCAACGACCGCATTCTAAACAGCGCGCCAGCTCGCGCCTTCCATTTTCCAAATTTCAAAAATTTTCTATTTGTTTTAAAGTGCCCCTTTTAACCATCAAACACGTTGCGTCCAAGTGCCGGTGTGAACGTCGTAGAACGATTGGCGTGTGATTTGGTTTTCGAGTTCAAAGGTGATTATTTAGTTATTTAATTTTTTTCTTTTAAAGTGCTTTTTAGTGACCAGGATGTGGATTTTGGTTTTGCTAATTTTTTGGTAATTATTGTCTTCAGTACGTTTTTTTATGCTTATATAGGTCTACTTAGTTTTGACACGTTCTTACTTTATGTACTCTCCAGTGTTGTTATCAACCGTATTTTATTTTTCAAAAATATGTAGATAATTCTGTGTCTGAGTGGGAATTTTATAAGTAATACCATAGATAATACAAACAGAGCTCGAGTAATTGATCAAGTAGATCAGAAAGAAAAATCTAGAGCAGATGCCCATTCCTTGCATATTTTATTTTCTACTAGCTGGTGCTACTAGAATATGTATTTCAAGTAGCCTATTTACTTACTTGAGAAACGATGGACCTCCGTACAAACTTTTATCCCCCATTGCACTCCCTTAAAGATTTATTGTTGTGACAAAAAGTAGCTTAAAACCAATATATCTATATACCAAAATTCATCAAGTTTGGTTCAGCGGATACAGTTACTGTCGCATTTATAACAATAATTTGTATTTTCACCTTTCGCCATTCAATTTTATTGGTTTTCACAAACCTATTTTATATACCAATTCAAACAAAAAAGAATGATCCATCATTGGCATTCTAAAACGTGACCATTGCTATTGGATGAGTCATAACTTGCGGGCGTTACACTTAAAGCCGCCATTCGCTGACCGATTCACTAGCCAACTCTGCTGTACAAGAATCTCTGTAAAGGTATCAGTGCAGCGGTGAACATATGTTTTGTCAGGTAAAATTCGAAATATTAGTATTTTAAAATCATACTTTTAATTTAGCTGTAAAGTATTAAGTTTAGAATGTTACTATTTTTGGCTTTAACATGCAATTATAAGAATTCCGTTTTGTTATACAAATTGGTAGACTTTGATGGTTGTTATTTAAATGCAACTCTATCGTTAACTTTCTCCGTGGCCGAACGATTACCATGTCGGAGCGTCACGCACAGGTCCCAGGTTTGATTCCCGGGCCGGGAGAAATATTTATATGGTCTACATTTATTTCTCTTGTGAGTTTGGGTGTAATTTGTGGCGCCTATGTGTGTGTCCATGTCCCTAGTGCGGGGCTAAGTTAAGTGTGTGCGTTATTATTATTATATTACTGTTTTATGAACACATTTTATCTGATAAATAGTCTAGCAAATTGGTCAGCGAATGACCCCTGTAGAGAAAACTGCACGCGATTACTAGCGTGCTTAAGATACGTGAAATGTTGAACAAGATCTTTGTAAAAGAAAAGCTAGCTTTTTTTTCTATTAGAAAATATTTGCTAAACTACTTAATTAGTAGAACATTGTCGATTAATTAAATTTTTTAGGCGGAAATCTGAATTGTACCCAGACTTGGAAAGTCTGTGGGTGAGCAATGAGAGCCTTGAAGAACTGAATTGATATTTTTTTATAGTTTTGTACTAAATTTGTTATCAAAAATATTAAAATCTATCAAATCTGAACACAAAATTTACTGTGTCAAACTATTATTAAAAAATATTACTATTTCTTTTCTTTTATTTTCCTTTCGAGTGATTTGAGGTAGAAAATTTCGTAATTTGAAAATTTCATAAACTTTGTTGAAAAAGTTTTCTTGTCTACCTGTATCAAAGTTTGATTTAATCATTATTAACCTGTTACGATTTTTAAATTTTCAATTGTTTCTGCTTTGTCAAATCTAAAAAAAATACTCATGTTCAATTTAGATTTTTTTAAGGATTGACTTTAGATTTTAATTTAACTACTACTTTATTTAAATATACAGGTAAACTTTAGTATTTTATATTCTCACTTGTTTGTTCCACTAAATATGCTGGTGTGTATATATATATATATATATGTTATTCTTTCCGAAACTTGAAGTATTATCTAGTCCACTATATTACTTATGGCTGATTTTCTGTCACACTCATACAAAGGACCGTCAATGGCGCGCTTGGCAGTACATTGCTGCCTTTTTTAACAATCGTGAGATGGTCCACATAATAGAAAGTAAATACCACCATTTGTGAATCTACAGATGCATGACCGTGCATAGTTAACCGTGAGTTAGAAGTCGTATATCTCTAACGCCAGTAATCACTGACTCTCCCCTGTAAGCTGGAAAACAATATATAATACCAAATGACGGGACGAACAAGTCGTGCGCCTGGTGGTCCACAACAATTGCAGTGTGGTCAGAGTATTCATCTGAGAGGCACTGCCCGTCACCCTGACACATAAATTGACACGTCTCATTTGTCTGTAATTTCATCAGCACCCCTTACCCTTCCAAACCGGAACGTCGTCTTCTTGTTATCGTATCAATGAGATACACTGTAATGCTTGTCATCGTGGTGAAAGGATTTGCCAATCGACTTGAGGTACTCGCCAATTGTTGCCCAGAGCGCATCAGACGTACAGGAAAAGAATGGTACGTCGTGCGGGGAGGTCCTTTCGTGTATCTTTCATCATATCAGCCGGAAGACGTCTATTGCTGAACATTGGCCTCCTCCAAAGATATCCAGACCAGCCCGTCGGACGTGACGTACATTCATCGGTTACCCTCCGCCCTTACCAGGCCATCTAGTACGGGGCTGTCTCACTGAACGCCTTACGGTTCGTGGTCTCCATTCGAGAACCTTTCTGCCCCAATGGCCGTCAGTTCTACGAGCTATGTGCTCTGCCCACTTCCACTTCAACTTGCCAATCCTTCGAGCTATCTCGGTGACTTTCGTTCTTCTACGGATCTCCTCATTTCTGATTCGATCACGTAGAAATGCCTAATGCGACTAAATGGTAGAAAAGTTAAAAATGATTCATAATATTTTGAGTTAAAATGCGTTACATACATTTATGTCAGTATTGACTTTATTTCGCGTAGTATTTGTACGTGTCTTATTCACTAATATTTAAAAGTTCTCCAAATTAAACTATTCTTTTCCCAAAACTCGCCACAAGTGACTTTGATCATTCTTTCCCTGTGGACTCTTCAAATTGGTAAGGTGCCTTGTCGTAGTAATAGGTAGGGCAGTGGTACCTAGCATTCTATCTTTCAACCGTCCAACCGCCGATTGAAATGAAACCGTCTACGTTGATGACGTAAGCAACTCTTTAATGGACTCTATAATATACCCTGCATATAAATAGACCGTCATTCCAACCGCTTCAAGTTAGTAAAACAAAATCAATTTCTAACGGCACCCAACACACAATCCCAATAAGAATAAAGCAACACAAATGAAGCAAAACCATTCGTCGGACGTGACTTCCGTACTTCTGTACCATTAAGATTGTAGCGGTATACCTAAACACTTTCGTACAGTCATCCATCACAGTTTTAATGGAAAAAGAAGTCGTAATCATAAATATGGATAGAAAGAAAATAACTCTAAGCCAATACGAGAAAATTTTAGGATTTTCAGAATTATGATGAAAAGTAGATAATTCAAGAACCGAAACCAAATGATAGAACACATTAACAAATTAATTACTAGAACTAGAACGAGATCAAAAGAATGAAATTATTAATTAGCAGCAGTGGAGCTTCTTGTGAAAGAGTTCCTCCAAGGAATTACCGCCACCTTACGTAATTATGCCGCCAACAAGTAATTATTAACAAGTAATTATTAAGTAATTATTAAATGATCTCTGATTTCCGATTTTGAGGGATAAGGTTGTTGGTGAAATTATAGGCACTTGGGACTTGTCAACTTTATGTCTCAGAGTGACAGGCGCAGTGGCAGTGCCACTCAGATCTTTGCGATTTAAAAGTGTGTCGCTTACCACCAGGCGTACGACTTGTTCGTCCCGTTACCTACTTGGTATCATAAAAAATAGGGTGTTCCGCGAAAGTGTGCCCAAAATACAATCAGCGTCTTTTAATATACCTATATTGGCGGATATATAAAAAAAATCTATAGAATGTTTATATATAAAGTGTATCTAATTTCCAAACGGAGCATAAAGTTAATGCATAGCTTATCTTTCAAAAGCTCAAGTCTTTTGAAAAAGCCGTAGGCCCCATGATATTACCTTGGGGTACTCTTATCGTATCTAACCTTGATGAATACCAAACCTTTAAATAATTTTTCAAATTGGGGTGTTTCTACGAGATAACTACATTAAACCATTATCAGTAGTCTTTTGAGATAGACGGTCATTCGATACCTATAATCTTACTTTGAAGAACTCCAATCACTTGTGGTACAAACACGCTACCTTAAGGTACGCCCCTGTCCTTGACATATGCCAACCCTGTAGATAGATACATTTTCATGACTGTTGAAATGTTATGATGCAAATAATTACCACAAATCCATATTGCTATAAAACACTTAAACTTTAAACATCACTCATTCCTTTTTTTCAGTTTTGTTTTTCAGCAGTTATAGGCAGTTATCATTTTAAAAATCTTCCAATCCCACAATTTTTCTTTTGTTGATATTTTGCTTCTTTTGTTTTAGCTGTTTAGCTTAAATTAGACCACTAGCGAATAAGGGTATTCATTCTCATCGATTCTCTGTTTCTCACATTTATATAATGTCCAGTCAGCTTAAAAAGTCTCTATTCATGTCATGGATGAAGGAATCTCAATTACACAGAAGTGATACAAACTGAGAAAAATGAAACTAGTCGCCTAGAATCAGTCAGTCGTAATCATGGGATCTGTAAACCCTGTGGGCCCGAAACGTTAATATGTTTGAAAAAAGTAACATTCGCGATTCCGAAAACAAAGTTTCATTTCCTATGTGCGACAATCGCGAAAACCTTAGAAATCCCAAACAGACATAAGACTGCAGTACTAATTAATATGTTTTAGTTTATTCTAATTTCTATTATTAATTAATAATAAATTGAACTTAATAAAAATTCATTCAATAAAATAATTTGTAAAACAAAATGTTTCCTTTTTAAATTAAAAATAAGGTATTTAATTAATAACTATTGTAGCTATAGTTAAAAAATAGTG